GACCTGTATCCATGGCCTTGAATACGGTTGCAGCTGGTATCTGCTCTCTTCAGCAGAGAAGCCATGGTCCTGTGGAACACATGTTGCAATCTTAATGTTAGGGAATCAGCAAGCTGTAGTCAGGGTGATTAAAGCAATGCGTGGAGCAGTGACCCAGACCCTGATGATGTCCAGAGTTTTCACAACACAGCAATTTCAAATATTTAATTCAATTTTCACAGCAGTTGTCTGAAATTGATGTCAGAGCACAGTCTGAATTCAAGGAACTCACAGTTTAAGAGATCAGAAAGTCAAAATAAATATGTATTTAAGATGAATGTGATCTGTTACCCTTCCCAGCATGTGTCAGGTTCTGTGTAAAGTTGTGTTAAGGGGAATAAAGATTATAGAAACCCTATAGTAGAGTAAAAATGTCCGGGTAAGCTTTCTGGAGGCGAGGCGGGTCAAATGAATGACATGAATGATGGGCTGTAACTTAGCAGAGAAATGGAATGTGCAGGAGAACCACCTGTAAAACCCCTGTCAGTGACTGCTTCCAAATCCAGTGTTTTACATTACAGAGAATGTTTCATCAGTGATGTAGGCTCTGTAATATCGCTACCTGAAACAGTCTGTGAAGCCTCCATTTACAAGGACCTGACTGAGGAAATACCTGACTACAAATGATGGGAATTTCATTCTTTTAAAAAGTCAACATTGGCCGGGTGCGGTGGCTCACGTCTGTAATCCCAGCATTTGGGAAGCCAAGGCAAGTGGATCACTAGGTCAGGAGTTCAAGATCAGCCTGGCCAACATGGTAAAACCCCATCTCTACTAAAAATACCAAAGTTAGCCAGGTATGGTGGCAGACACCTGTAATCCCAGCTACTCAGGAGGCTGAGGCAAGAGAATCTCTTGACCCGTGGGGTGGAGGTTGCAGTGAGCCAAGATCACGCCACTGCACTCCAGCCTGGGCAACAGAGTGAGACTCCATTTCAGAAAAAAAAAATGTTAACAGTACTAGTGAGAAACACTTAGGCGGACTTTGTTCATTAACAAAACACCAAGCACTCCCTTCTCAACTCCACAAGGCTGCCAAGATCATGAGCCTCAAGGACACAGGTAGACTGGTAGATAAAAAGTGAGAAAAACACAGCATCAATCACATCAATCAGTCAGGCTTTCTCCCAGCCAATACTCCTCCAACACAAGGCTGGACCCCATCACCATGGCTGAGCTTACAGCAGCTGTCAGCATGACTGGACCCACAGAAAAGGCCATGGACCCCTAGGACAGAAATCCCTCCTAGGCCAGAGAGTAAGTGTTAGCCCAGGTACCAGGGTCTTCCAAGAGAGAGAAAACCTTATGTATCCCATCCCTTACTGTTGCCCCTTTATTGCCTCAAGAAACCTACATTTCTCCCCTCTCCCCAAACATGGACTCAATGCTCTCCAGAGCTTCTTCTTAGTCATCAGCCACTTGGCTACATCTTCAACATCGTCAACCCTTTGCCACAATAGTCCCTCCATTTCCCTCGTCTTACAGAAAACCTGTGAATCTCTGAAGATATCATTTCTCTTCAGCATTTCCATTCTTTTTTCTAAGGTCAGAAAGTAGGAGCAGAAGTCTCACTTTCTGTATTCTCTGTGCTTTTGATCCCATTGCTCTTTCTCTGTCACGTGTTTGGCTATTTTGAGTCAGGGACCACCCTGCCCTGCCCCCTCTCAAGCTCCCCATCACTGTCATCTCCCGACCTCTGAGACATTCCTCATTAGAGAAGACACTTCTTTGTGGCTGGAGCCTTCATCTGCGCTGCCTCTGGCTGTAATTCCAGGCTGCCTCAGCATCCATGTGAACTTGCCCTGACAATGTTACGTTCGGGCTCAATGACTTTCCTAAACTAAAGTTATCTTCCCTTCATTGTATCACAACCACGCTCCTTTGCCATCCACCCTGGACTGCTTCTGCTCTAAATCATTAATCAAAATATTCCACTTTTCAGCCATAGCTTTCTATCATTCCATCCTACATACAACCTGCACAGAACTCAGCTTCAGTCTCACAGAGCAAACTTCATTCTTAACCCTTCTGCTTCCTTTCTATGCAAGAAAACATTGTCGCTCTCTCCTTCTTTTACCCCATCATTTAAATCATGCATTTGTAAACATCCCAAACTCCTTGGTTTCTAGTGTTTCCTTTGTACCCACTTATCAAGCTCCCAGTTCTCCCTACGGGAAATTATACAACTGAGAAATTGGTGTCACAATTAATTTAGGTTCATCATTCACAACCGCAGTTCACTCTCAATGGTCAGTTCTCTCCCCACTCTCCAAGAAGACTGAAATTAATGCTGCTGCAATCTCAGCAACGCTCCAGCCTTCTTGTCCAGCCTTTCTTTAGGAAGTGGTCTTGTATTCACTGAGAACTGCAAGCCATAAGCTCAGGATGCTCTCACCCGTCCATTGCCACACCTACAAACTACCAGGGTTTACATGAGCTTTTTTCCTCCTATTCAAGCTTACTCTCTCCATAGAGCTCCTTTCAGAAATCCTGTGATATCAACTACAGAGGTTCCCTCATGCATTTTCAACTTCCTCCTGCAAACAGGATTAAATTATTCTTATTAGCATGAAAATATACACCGGGTTTCTCCACAAAAACTAAAATAAAACCACAATTAAAAAAAATTGTCTGCTTGAAAATAACTTCTGCTTCCTCCTTTTATAATGAAGTTTAGGAAAAGTCAATTTTATAAATGCTACCTATACTTGTTTTCTCATTCATGTATCCACTTACTGGAATAAGTTCTCTAGCGCTACCTTCCAACAAAATCTAAAGTCACCAGTGACATCTCTGTTGTGATATCCAATAAACAACTTTTCTTCCTCATTTTACTGGACTTGCCATCAGCACCATAAAGGACTCCCCGCTTCCTATTTGGTGAAACATTCTGTTCTTTTGTCTCCCGTGATGTAGGATCTTGGCACCCCTGCCATCTCTCAGATAGTTCCTCAGGGTTTTTTGTTGTTGTTTTGTTTCGTTTTTTCGCCAGCTCTTTTTCCCTTTCTACATCTTAGAAAGCTGCAGTTTCTTGGGATTGTTACTGGACTCCAATCTCTTTTCTCAGTCTACCACCTCTTGGGAAATAAATCTATATTCCTTTAAATACTGTTCTGTGCATTCAGACCAGACTGCACTGCAGAGCTCTATGTTGGTTTACTCTGCCACCTATTTGACATTTCCAATAGGTCTCGAATCATATCTGATTTATCCTACACAAAACTGAAATTCTAACATTCTTCTGAATGCTGATTCCCCTTCAATATCCCCCCATCAACCCAGTTGCACATGCCAGAAACTCTGAGGAAATTTCGCTTGTCTCTTCTCCTTGGGTTACCAACTTTTATCAAATTTATAGCCCCTACAGCTCTCTAACCCGCAGTCTCTCTCCATCTCTATCATACATCCTAGCTCAGCCTACTTTCTCTAGTCACCAAAAAACAAGAGCTTATAAAAGATGATTTTAATAATGCCATTCCCTGCCTTAAACTTTCCATTGATTCTATTGCACTTCAGCTAAAATTCAAAATTCAAATCTGGCTCCCTCCCCACCTCCCAACAAAATTAGCCATGCTGCCTTTCTTTCTGATCCTTGAGCCACCCAATTCTATCTATTTCAAGGACTTCTCACATAATCCTTCAGCTTGGAAATCTTTCTCTCTTCACTTTGCAACCCCACCTCTCCTATATGTGACTAATCTTATTCTTTTTGGTCTTACTTCAAATGTCACATGGTCCCTGCGTATACGCCCCCAGGTCGGAGCAGTATCAGCATCACCCTTAGAGGCCAGCAAGCTTGGTCCTTGCCACAGTTCTCCTGATGCAGAGGGACCCACTCTGGTCCACTTGTTCCTTCTTCCCTGCCCAGAGTGTATGGAATCCAGACAATCCCCTGTCCAAATGACAAGTGACCCAGAGCCTGCTGTCAGGACTTCCCATGGGTCACCTTCCATTCCAGAAGGTGCAATCATTCCAGAGGTGCATACCTCCAAGACAAAGAGCAGCCTAGTAACTGCTATTTGCAGTACAGGGGAGAAGGTAAGGAAATGAGATTGAACTACTACTGCTACTGCTGTTCAGTGGGTACGATATCTACACAGGTGTGCCAGAAGCCATTCATGGTGTGAGGTCTATACAGGTGGATAGGAAGCCATTCATGGGTGGGTGTGCTGTCTACATACATGTGCAGGAAGCCCTTCATGGGCAATAGGAGGAAGCAGGAATCACGCAAGAGGCTGGTGCATAACAAAGTGCCTTGTCGCCAGGATGCATATGGAAGAGTGAGGATCAGGCTAGACTGAGTGGCATGTAACATGTATCATCTGTAGTGCGAAGTTAAATGTCCTAGAAAACTACTTTTCATTGGCTTGTTCATAACTTTTCATGGAAGAGAAAGTAGTAATAAATCCCGAGTAAGAGAAAATAATCAAGATTTTTAAGACATGGAAATGGTACCAAACAGTAGTAACAGAAAGGAGATGAAGTGGGCAGATTTGGAGGACAGGAAGAATAAAATGACTGGTCTAACAACTGCTTAAATGTAGTCAACACAGGGCACACCCGTGTGCTGCTTTCCTGAATCATAAATTCCTATTTTCCTGGATGCTTTCTCATTACAGACCATATTCTTTAAACTAATCTAGTGGCCAGACTCTACATTAACTCTCAACTCTACAGATGGCTTGAAGGCCTATAAACAATTACAGAATTTGAGTCCTCTAGCAAAGAAATACATAGATTAATGTTTCAGCAAACTAATTAAGGTAGGAGAGTTTTGCGCAAAAACGTTACCCTAGAGGTTTTTAAAGAAGAAGTCAGAAAAACTCATCACAGTTGTTGCTTATAAGTTGCTTATAAACTTATAAGCAGAAGCAATTCCAGGGTAGAAACCAGATTAAATGAAAAAAGTTAACATTCCCAAAGTAAGCTTATCACTGCTGATAACTATCATCATTACTCACAGGATAGAGACTTTGAATGCCCCAGCCACTCCAGGGAGGTCCATTTGCCATTCTGGGAAGACAAGACACGAAAGCTTTGAATCACTAAATGACAGACCAGTTAACTAAAAGAGTGAAGCAACACCTCAAGTTACAACCACATATATGACAATTAAGGGAGGAAGAAAAGATCTTGGCAAAATATCAAACCTAGGGTGGCTCCAGGTTTCTCACCATTGGAAACATCAATGCTATACTCTAAACCAATTTCAAGGAGATCCAAAGGTTTTGAAAAAACCAGATTATAGAGGAAATCGCAGTGCCAAGGGCTAATGACAAGGAAGCTAAAATAACAATTAGAACCATGCTATTTGAGAAATATTACAGGTTATTCCATAAAAGCAAAGGCAACATATCACTTAGGACATTAAAATGGCTTCTAATAATTAAGTTCATGCCATTGCTGTTATGTTTAGATTCCTAGTTCTTGAAGAAAATCGCTGCATTGCTATCAAGTATGTTCAATCTTTAAAGTGACATCCTCTTTTTATATGACACGTTTTACTGTAATATTAATCGAACTTAGAAATTGCACCTCATTCCCTCTTTTGGAGGCTCCTGGTAATTCATTCACCTCTACCCATTCCAACTGTTACTGTCTTTTGACCTAGCCTGTCTCCATGCAACTGTGACTACAATGACCAATGGCAATGTGTCTGTATCTCTGATAACTTTGATGTACGCAACAGATGGATATCATCAAACTTATAAGTAAAATACATCTAACGTACATCCTAGTGGCATGTGCAGGCAAACATTATGAATGAGTTTTCACAGAGCAAGTGTGAAATGTTTCATCTTATTGTATGGACTCAGCCAGCCTCACTAAATGGTGTCCCATAAGAACCTTGTAAACCCAGCTCCTCCATGGGTGGTGGCCTCCTGTTCTCTTACTAGACTCCAGTGCAGCGTGATTCTTGACACCATCCACACCATGTCTGTCAGCTAAACTGCAGCAGATGTGGCCCTAATCTCTTCCATGTGAAGGGAAGTATCATTTATAAGTGTATTGGGGACTTCTGTGTCTTATGCAACAGCAGCTGGAAACTTTAATTTTCTCCACACAAAATGCATGCAATATGAGTGTGAAATTGCAGAAGGTTGTATAAGTCCCCAGTTCTGGCACCTCATTAAATACTTTGCAATGCATTCTTGATTTAAAATAAAAATTTTAAATGTAGCCTACACTCGTGAGCTTGAATGTATGTACAGATGATCCTAAAGTATTTTGATGGGTTTTCATTCACATGCAATTCTTCCTCCTAATTTTAGTTACTTCAATCACAGGCCATCTTTGGCAAGAGAAAAATGAGTTGGGGAATTAGGATGAAAAGTTTTAGAGTAGAATACATATCCATAATATCAAATGTTTTTGCAAGAATGGTACTACTTGTTTATAGTCTTGCATTCCAAAAGTTCACTTCTTGTTCTGAAAAAAATAAAAAAGGTTATAATGTCTCCTCAAAAATGCTTGCTCTCAAATAGCATGGGCCAGCTCAACACATTTTTAACAAACTAGAACACTGCTAAAAATATTGTCAAATCAATGCAGGTCTCACCTTAATGGAATTTAGACTGTGAAAATAGCACAATTGAGTCAGAGCAAATATGGGTGTGACATTTGATGATTCTGCTCTATGTGCTTGATCAGAGAGAGAGAATGAATAGAAATGTCTGATGACTCTTCCCACCATTCTGCTCAGTCAGTGCTTGTGTTTCACAATGAGAGTGAAATGGGATTGAATCTGCTGCTGTCCCAGTTGATCCTTGCTATTTGCCTCTTAAATTCTGCTCAGCTTGCTACCCAATTCTCCCTAAACACAAGTGAATCAACTACTCAGCTGAAGAATGAGGATTTGATATAATTTTGGAGAAAAAAGTGGTAAAAACGTTTTGTATATAGTGCTTTCCTAAAAGATTTTTGAGAGTAATTTTATCAATATGCATGTTTTTCTTAAAGTGTGGATTTTAAAGCCCAGTCCTCATGGAAAATGAACACCACTATGTAAAGATGTATTACCTGTAGTACAGCTTGTTTGCTATGATCTGGGCTAAAATTGAATTCTTTGCACAACATGAAGAGAGTCTGAACAGACAGCTCTTTAAAGCTTTTGGGTATTCTCTGAATCATCTAAATTGGAGGATACATGAAAGAAAAAGCTATTTTTTGTTAGTTTTTTAAATCACAAAAGTAATAACTAATCATCTTTGAAAACTTAGAAATCAAAAAACGGCTTACACAAATATTGAATCAAAACCATTAGCATCTTGGTACATCTATTTCCAATAAGATAATATATTACACATAAAACTTTTATATCTTGTAATTTTTCAGACAACCATATAACCTGAAAATGTTCCATTTGGGATATTTAGGGATATTCAGACTCAATGTGACTTTAACACCACTTATTAGTACATCTTAAAAGCATTACAATTTAACCAATATCCTACTGTATTTTTATAGTGTTAATATTTCTACATTGTAATAATAAAATTTTATTTATCTATCTTTTTAAAAAATCCACCATTAAAAAAATCTGTAAATACTTCTTAGGACAAATTCCTAGAAGTGAAATCGCTGGTTCACAGGGAATGAACATTACTTAGCCTGTTGAATTTTGGGTTTTAACAAATGCTTTCCACAAAGTTAAGTACGATTTAACTGACAAAGTTGATTGGTTGAAGTGTCTCTTTCCCATCATCCTCACCAAATAGGGTATCTTAATTATTTTAAACCATTGTCAGTAGGGCAGGCTGCCACACACTGGAGGATGCTAACCACATTTAACAGAAAGGCAATCACATGCATAGTTGTAGTCATCAAATAGGTTAACGGCTATGACAAAAACACCAAATCTCGGTGACTTCAACAACATTTTACCACACCAGTTCAGTGTACACATTGGGTAGGCAGCCATGCAGCCCTTTAGGGACAAATCCAGCCTCTGTCCATCTTTCTTGTAATACCATCACCGTGGACTCTGGCCAGCACTCATGGGAAGAGAATTACATAGGAGCAATTTCTATCGTCAAGGCCATTAACTCAGCTGGCCACACTTGCTTACATATTCCATTAGGTATGACTCAGTCCCAGGGACACACTCAACCTCAAAGAGGCCCTGGACACAGTCTAGCTATGAGCCAGAGAAGAAAAGGCAATCTATTTGTTTATCAAGCCATCTTTGCCACACATTGTCATTTTTTTACATTTTAATGTAGTTAGAGTTTCTATATTTTAAGAAGTTATTTCAGTCCATGGACATTTAATCACTGAATCACAATATACATACAACTGCATGCCTGCCATTCTGCATTTTTTCTTTCCTTTTCTTCTTGCATGGTTTCCCCTTTTACTTCTGCTAGTTGGATACGAATATTGTCCACTTCATTTTCCCTCATTCATTTGTAACTCTACTATACTTTTTTATCCCATTAATGGTTACTATTAGCATATATTGAATTAATTTGAACAAGACAACCTGTAATTCTTCACATTATCTTTCCAAATTTATCTACTTCTCCCCCACCCCAACCTATACAATAAGACCTTCGGAATCTTCTTAATCTTTTTCTCCTACCCTCCCCCTCTCCACTATTCATGAGATCTCAGAAATGTTTGTATCTCCACTTTCTCATTCACAACTTCCTCCTACTCCTAGAGTTTGATTAAAAATTTCAGACATTATCAATATTTCTATGAAAGAATGAATGTTCACTTTCAAGAGCTATTATGTTATATATTATATCTATCCTTAGCTTATATGTTTTCACTCTATATTATAGGTGGATTAAGAGATCCTGAGGTCTCTATCCTGGTCACTTTGTCACGTATTAATGTCATTTTCTTAGCACTTTCCTCAAATTAGATACTAGGATGACAAACTTTTGACTGGAAATAGCATTATTCCCTTCCCTTGCAGCCCTTTGCTGTCGAATTACAGATTCTCTAGCATTTCTTATAGTTATAGTCATCTAGGCTTACAGATAAAGAATCTACTACCAGTCTAAACTCATTTTCCTTTGTAAGAACCTGTTTTTTGCACCGCAGCATTACTGACTTATCAGACTGGATAATTCTTTGTCATAGGGCTGTTCTGTGCATTGTAGGATGTTAAGTAGCAACCCTGCCCTCTACTCACTAGAAGCCAAGAGCATCATGCTCAATTATGTCAATCAAAATTATCTTCAGGCCCGGCATAGTGGCTCACGCCTGTAATCCCAACACTTTGGGAGGCTGAGGCAGGTGGATCATGAGGTCAAGAGATCGAGACCATCAGGGCCAACATGGTGAAACTCCATCTCTACTAAAAATACAAAAATTAGCTGAGCTTAGTGGCACACGACTGTAGTCCTAGCTATTTGGGAGGGGAGGCAGAGGCAGAGGCAGGAGAATTGCTTGAACCTGGGAGGTGGCGGGAGGTGGTGGGGGGCGTGGGCAGAAGTTGCAGTGAGCCGAGATTGCACCACTGCACTCCAGCCTGGTGATGGAATGAGACTCCTCCTCAAAAAAAAAAAAAGTCTCCAGACATTGCCAAATGTTCCCTGGTATCAAAATGCTCCCAGCTGAGAACCACTGACTAAGAAGCTTATAAAACTTGTTTCTTTTTTTTTTTCTTCTTCTTCTTTTTTTTTGAGACAGAGTCTCACTCTGTCACCAGGCACCAGGCTGCAGTGCAGTGGCGTGACCTGGGCTCACCACAACCTCCACCTCCCGGGTTCAAGCAATTCTCCTGCCTCAGCCTCCCGAGTAGCTGGGACCACAGGCACTTGCCACCACGCCCAGCTAATTTTTTTGTATTTTTAGTAGAGACAGAGTTTCACCATGTTGGCCAGGATGGCCTCAATCTCTTGACCTTGTGATCCGCCAGCCTCGGCCTTCCAAAGTGCTGGGATTACAGGCATGAGCCACCGCGCCTGGTCAAAACTTGTTTCTATCTGATAATTTAAGAAGTTTTACCACAACAAATATAATTGTGTGGATTTTAATACATTCATTTATACATCTTTCAA